TCTAGAAATCTGTGCACGGCTACAACTCTGGGGGCAACCAAGTATTTGTGCCTCAACGGAACCTCATCTTTTCCAATGTAGCCAGCTATTTCCTCTAATGTCGGGGTAAGCTCAAAGTCCGTAAAATGGAACACATTATGTGCTGGGTCCAAATGTAACCAGTGCTCTAATAATATCTCCCCGAGGCACAATATCGAGCAAACCGGTAAGCCCTTTCAAATGTTTCTTGACTGCATCTTGCCCTTCTCCGCCTAAATCGTTCCACCACAGACGTAACTCCAAAGGGATTTTATGCATGATTGAAAATAATTCATTTCGAGTCGTGCTCATCCTGCACATTTTTTAAGGTGATTTTAATCACTTATTTTGACCTAAAAGAGAAAAATGGAACAATCTCTGTTCAAATTCCAATTTAAACAAACAGCCGGTATTGCGGATACGGCCTTTCAGCACTTCATAAGGAAGATTTTAAGGCTGTGCCTGGTAACCGTTTAGAAGATAACTCAAGGTGGCTGTTCTTGCAAAAACAGCCTTCTGGCGCCCTTTTGGGGACATTTGGCTTATTTTTGACAAGAATGGCATCACCCGACTTATTCATGACGAAATTAAAAATTTTGGTATTTCTGGCTATTTTTTGCAAAAAGGGAGGTTGGACCCGATGAGGGTTGCCTACGTATCTCACGTCCGGCGAGAATCAAACCAGTGTAGTTCGGGCAAATAAATCTAACTATTTTGAAAACGAGACTTTTTTTCGTTTTTGTTGGCAAATACACTATTTCTGAAAGCAAGATTCTTTTTTTTTTTTTTATATTTTCCTTTTCAATGGTAAATAAAATAAACTAATGTGAAAATAAAACTCTTTTTGTTTTTCTTTTCCATTGGCAAACTAAAAAGAACTTTCTTCTCTTCTTTTTTTCATTTTCAAAAATTCGGCAGCATTTCGGCACTACTTGGACATTGATTTTTTCTAATATAGGAACTTAACTCTCTATATCGCTATTTTCTCTTTTGGTTTTTCCACTTTCTCCCAAATATTCAAAGCCGGTCAGCATGCAGGTCCCAAACAGATAAATGCACACATAGGATGCAGCAGGATGGTCCATTATTCCGGGTACACCTGTCCTAGACGGACCCAACCCCTGTGTTGAGTCCCCTAAGTCAAAATGCACGTGATGCAGATAAACGTCCTACTAGGGATCCGGCATGAAGTCAAGTTCTTCTAGGTTCAAAACCTGGGTATGTGTTCTAGACTGTGTACCCGAGCAAACAACTCGAGTCGAGGAGGGGGCTACGTACCGGGAACCAAAAGGCCATCCGGCTTAGTAACTTGTCCGGCCTCTTTCTTATTTCAGGGTATTGACACTAACAGAATAGGGAGTCTCAACCAGTAAGCACATCCCCGGAGGTGAGAAGAGAAGGGTTTCGGCACAGTTTATATGCAATTCCAGATAATATCAAAACGGTACAAAGCAACATCTTGCACATTTAGCATGAAACATGTAGGAAAATCAGATAAAGCCAAATACAACAATATATCTAAGCTTGAATTCTGAACCCTGAACCAAAGTTCTGGGTTCGGTCCCCAGTGGAGTCGCTAGAGCTGTCACACCTCCATTTTTCACTACACCCGCAAGGGTGCAAAGGAGTTTTTCCAATTAAAGGACAGTCGGAACGGGATTTATTATTAATATTCAGAATCACCACTTGGGAGATTAATGGTGTCCCAAGTCACCGTTTGAATCCCGATCCGAGGAAATTATGACTCTGTTAACAGTCTGCGAACCAGAAATCCGAGTAAGGAATTCTGTTAACCCAGGAGAAGGTGTTAGGCATTCCAGGGTTCCGTGGTTCTAGCACGGTCGCTCAACTGTCATATTCGGCTTATTTATCTGATTTCAAAACATGTTTTAGCTTATGCTTTTTAACTTTGAACCGCTTTTATTATCATTATTTTAAGAGAATTGCAACGCCGTGAAAACACGTCTCGAACCGCGTCACATAAATGCACCCGCGATTTTTGACGCATTTCGACTTCGTTGGGATTTGGATTTGGGTCACATAAATGTGCACCCGTATTTAGGAAGGTAAAATTATTTAAAGTGCGTGCCTAAAGAGACCACCGCGTTATTATCTTTGGAGAAGGCCGTGAAATTCGCTAAACGGCCCATCTCGAGGTCTAAGGATTTGCACAAATAATTAAAGAGGGCCAAGCATTTGAAATTTGTTAGGCTTGGCACACCTCTATTCTGATCTTAAAGGAAATTTCACACTACGTTGTTGAGGTCCATAACTACATTTGCTAAACGTGGCACAACTCGCTTAATTGATTCTAGATCCTTAGCCTTTTTAACTTTAATATTCATATAGGCTAAATAAGAGACTTTGTATAAAACTCGGGTCCAAGTCTCTCAATTATTAGGCTGCCAGATACAAAGAGGCTGCCTTGAACTAAAAAAAACCTCGATAACATTTAGGCCCAAAGGGCCCAAACACTCCAAACAGCGCCGGCTTCAAACAAGGAGCCCAGGATCAATCCTCCTGCTGCCCAAATAGCATCCCAAGCACAAGATTTGAACAATCCCAAGTTGATTTAAAACACAGGACTTAGCCCAGACTTAGTTCAAACGACCATGAATGCCTATTTAGCAATTAACCTAGAAACTGCACATATGCCAATCGATTAAAATCCAGGAAAATATACACATAGTCGTACGCTTGGCTTCCAAAATTAATTGCTTCAAAGAGGATTGAACAACCAAGCAACCAAGAAAAACTCCAAACTAATCACAATAGCAATTATACGAACTGATCTAGTAGACACTAAGAGGCTGAATTTTACACTAAATGCATTTTCCAGCCTATCATATACATACCAGTATGAGCTTACTAACAATCTCATCATGGAAACGCAGCTAATTCTTATCATGACTCGAATCGAAAAACCAAACAGGGAATGAACAACTGATGCCTTGAACAGTTCCTAGCTCAACAAGTTCACATGGATTCAGCTGATCCACATTTTTACATGGAATATTCACGGATCAAACACCCATCAGTTTCAGCAGAGCTCAAACACAGACATGCCTTTCATGGCTTAAATAAACTCTTACTACAGCAAATGGTGAATAATCCTTAAATCACACAGAAACTAACTAAGAGATGAAATGATTACAATACAATATCGAATAAACGAAGCACAACACTGGTTGAAGCCATGTTCTGAATCCCAATATTTATTTCATACATCAAATCTGACTTCACATGTTTAATAGAGCTCAAGATATAATACCTGGAGGTTAAAAGGAGAAAGAAGAGTGAGGAAACATGAGCAGCAACAGAACAGTACTTCAGCAAATCAGCTTAGACCAGAATTTTGAAACAGTACAGCAACAGAGCCAATAAAGAGGAAACAACACCAATTTAAAGCCCAGAAATGATGTATGATTGTCTGAAACCCAGTTTTAATTAACCAAATCCCTAGCAACTTCAAACTAGACTCGATTTCAAACCCTTGTGAATTCAGCCAATCAAAACTACTTCAGAATCAGAGAAACTCCAAAAGATCCCCAAACAGATTTCAATAGAACAGTGTTATTCATCAGAATTTCTAGTTTTTTTTTTGATTTTCTTTTCTGAAAACTTTTATCTCTGAACTCCTATAGAACAGTAGAACTATCTAGCTTTTTTTGATCTTTTTCTCTCTATATCTCTCCTCTCTCAAGTTATTCTCTCTGTATTTCAGCCCTTCATTCTCTCGGATTTCAGAATGTTAAAAGCTCTATTGTTTTTGGATTTTCAGCTCTTCCCTCTCTGCCTTGAAAGGCAAGTTTAAGATGCCTTTATAGGCAAGGGACTAGGGCAGACCTTATGTTTTCAATTTTGCACCCTGCCCCCCCTTTAATTCTCATTTTAGCTTAGGTGTCCCTCAATTACTAACTTGCTACCCAAGTTATGCTACCAAAAATCAGAAATTGCCATTCAAACCTCCAACCTAGAAGCTTCTAGGGACTTCTCAAATCAGTACCAAAAGATTCCCTGATTCTAATTTACCTAAAATACCCTTTAATGACCCTGTTTTTACCTTGAAATTCATGGGCCAAGCTGACCCAGTAATTGAAACAGTCCAAACATGGGTCAAGAATGATTCAACTCAAGGAAATCAGCCTACTCAAACTATGAACTGAGGATTTAAATGCGGCCCAGATTTAAAAGAGAAAAAAAAAAGAAAACTTAAGCTAATCAAATAAACTAAAGAAAAGCAATTAACTCCTAGACTAATAAATCTAGTAAACTGGAACTACTAAAATAGTGAACTAAATTATGGACTAACATTACTAATTAAGAGAGATGCATAATTATTGAAACTAAAACACACAAACAAATTTGAACTAAATACTTTCGAATTCGACACGAGTTTTCTGGAAATTGAACGACCTAAACCAAACTAAGATGAGCACATGCTTCAAACAAGAAGAAAGAAGAAGAAGACAGATGCGGATAGCAAAACAAAAATAAAAATGGAAAAAGAAAAACAAGCATACCTCCCCAATCCTCCTTGAACAAAGCTTCGATGCATCTTTGAATTTGTGGCCGGAATAAGTCTCAATCGTGTGTTCTCAAATGAGAACACACAACTGAGATCGATTCCAACCACGAAACTTCTAAACCCTCGCTGACTGGACTATTTGGAAATTTAGGTCATCCCTTCAAACCCAGATTCGAACAATCCTACTAAGATTCGAGGCTAATGGGTCATAGATTAAGGAAGAGGGGGTGAGGGGGGTTCCATGGTGTTGTTTTGGTATGGTTTAGGGTAGATTGGGATCAGCGCCGCCGGACACGGCGGAGGCGGCGCTAGGGTTTCTAAAATTCGAGACATTCCGGTAAGATTTGAGAAAAAATGGTTGAAGATTTGGGATTGGGTGGAGGAGGGGATGCTATGGTGAAGATTTGGTGGCGATTGAACGCCGGCCGTCGCCGTAGACGATTTCCGGCGGACGGCGGGCAGTGGCTTAGGGCGGAGGGGGCTGTTCTCTGAAAGAGGTGAGTGTGGGTGAGGGAGACGGGTCCTGAGGGGGTTCTGAGGGGGGGGTGGGGTTGATTTGGACACTTAAATATTAAGTGACCCAGGCTTCCCAACCGTCCGATCATCAAACCTCGACGACCAGGATTAATCCTAGCCAAAACTACGTCGTTTGGGGTATTGGGGCTGGACCGGATCGGGTAAGGGGTGGAACTGGGCCGGTTCGTTGGGTATCTGGGGTTGGATTTCATTTGGGCTAAACCATTTTGGCCCAAGTTGCACACCAGCCTATTTAATCTTTCAAATTCTCAATTTATTTGTTTTTTCTTCTTTTCTTTTTGTATTTTATTTATTTATTTTTTTATATTTTTTTTTCCTGATTTTTTATGAAATGCTAAATTAAAAACCAAAACCAAATTGAGCCTAAAATTATATCTCTTAAATTCCAATTACACAAATTAAGGCAAATTAAAACTAAAAATGCAAAAGACCATTTTTGTTATTTTATTTGCTTTTCCCTTCACTACTAATTAATCCTAAGATATGAAACTAAATCCTAAACGAATGCCAAGTATTTTTGTATTTTTTTCATGATTTAAACAATAATAAACGTGCACAAATAAATGCAAACAATTAACAAGAAATGCCACCAAAATCCATCAATTGCAAATAATGAAAATGAGTTGTTTTGTTTTGAATTTATGGGAGTAATTCATATAGGGCAAAAATCACGTGCGAACAATGACAATCCCCTCACAAGCAAGCTGGATCACTAGGAAAATACTGGAAGCCAAGGAGAACCTGGACTTGATACCTCCTGTCACAACTACTCGGAGCATGATCAATTCAATCTATAAACAGATCCTACCTACAATGATGCCAGTGCCTTGGAAGTGTCTTATGTTTAAGAATGATGCCAGACCAAAAGCAATTTTTACAATGTGGCTACAATTACAAGGAGACTATCTACAACAGATCGACTAGTGAACTGGGATTAATAGTTGATCCTATACGCACACTATGTCAGAGTCAACTGGAAACAAGAGATCATCTATGTGCTGAGTGTGACTTCACTAAGGCTATATGGAGGAAAATGCAGCAATGGCTGCAAAGAAAAGGGATAGCAGTGCAGACTTGGAACAAGCACATAGAATGGGCTATCCATAATGCCAAAGGAAAATCGCAGCAAGCTCAAATCTTCAGAATAGTGTACGCTGAGTGTATCTATGCTATATGGATGGAAAGGAACCATAGAATTTTTGAAAAGAAACACCGGATCTGGGAAATAATTATGCGAGAAGTTGCTTATATTTGTCATGTAAGATCAGCTCCAAGAGTTAAGGTTTTGATACAAAGTTTCATTTTTTAGAATCCAGTCATGTAGTTGCGTCTATAGATCAGAGTTTCCTGATAGGTAGATTTTAGATAGCTAATTGTGTTTGATTAGCTATGGCTTTGTACAGTTTCAAAGGTGATTAATACAAAAATTTAGTTACCAATAAAAAAAAGATGAGAGGATTTGTAGTTTGTAGAGAGCTTTGTTGAACAAATTTTTTGTAGAGCTTGAGTTTTAGTTAAAAGTTACTTTGAAGATTAGTTGTTTATTTCTTCACAAATTTTAAATTTTGAGAGTATTTTATTAGAAAATATTTTGAAAAATAATCAAATAGACCAAACATAGTGGTCTCCATTTAGTTTTGGCAAATAAAATGGTAGAACTTTGAACTCGTGAACAACACGTCAATTTAAATACCCTGAACCGTTGGACTCCCTCACTCAATTGTGTAAGAGTGTTTAAAATATAATATATAACCATATAAAATAGTATTTAGCTTGTATACACAGTATAATTTTTCGACAAAGGATATGCGCTTGACAACCTTGGCATAGGGTGGTTACGCCACTGCCTGCCGGATACAGAAGAGGTGAAGGATTAGGAGGAGCTAGAGTTTAAAGCAGGGATGTAGCTAATCACCCAGTAATATTGGTTTACTCTATAGTTACCTTAAAAATACTTGGAGTAGGCTCCTTTCCATGGGCAATCTACTCAAGAGTTTAGGCCCTAATTCGGTCTATGTCTGGGCTACTGCCGTACTCAAAAGCGAGGGGCTCCAAAACGATGTATAGAGTCTGATACCTGCCCCGTGCTCTGTCCCCCCTTACTCCAGACATGCTATGGTACCCCGGAGTGTGCGCTTTATTTAAAGCAGTGTGCGTCATCCGGGGTGATAAAAAAGAACCATACCTGTTGACAGTGTCCCAGTCCCTTAATCATCAGGCTTCTAGCTCTGGCTGGACATCCCTCCTAGAAAGCGGGGCAAACTCGCTAGGCGCTTCCGAAGCTGACCCCTGAAGAACAGACCCAAGCAAGGACAAGAGCTTGCCGGCGGACCACTGACGTCCCATTCGTGAGCTGGAGCGCAGCCATCTTATCCACTGAACTAGCTAGAAGTTATCGCTTCGGGTTGAAGCACTAAAAGAAAAGGACCGGGAAACGCAGGAAAAGGAGAATGAGTAGGACAGGCTCGAGTCAATTCTTTCTTTTAGGAGAGATCCCACCCCTTTCTTTAGCGCTTGTTCGTTCTAAAAGGACCGAGCCTTGTCTACGAAGCAGAGCGACCTCATTTTGCTTGTACATTTAATATGTATAAATTATTAACCTAGAACTTAATAATTTAAAAAGACTAGAATCTCGAGCCTATAAATTTTAAATGTTGTTTCCACCTCTATAAAGTGTTAAAATTTCATCAACAACGTAGCATCCCCTCAATCTTTTCCATCCTCATTCCCTGATGAAATAAAAGAAATTCCTTTCATGTAGAACTTTTTTTTTGGCACATCTCATTTGTGTGTTGTTTTGGTTAAGCACTTGTTGGTTAAAATCAGTGTTTTAAAAGGCATTTCAGAGTGAGGCACACCAAAAATGAATGTCCCGAGACGATGGGGGAGCGAAAGTCTCAAGTGGCGTACGCCCGTGCGTTGAGGCGCGTTTTTGCAGTGAAGCGTAAGCCCAAAAACTTTTTCAAATTAAAATAAAATTTGCTGAATAAGTCCTTAATATAATACCCAAATTTTCAAAAGTCTACTTGATTAATTTGAGAATTGGTATGATAATTAGGTATAGAGTTGGATATATGAGATGTTTGAGAATTTGTATGATAAGTAACTTGTTTGTGCATGTGGTATATTCATAATGAAAATAATTATTACACTATCACCAGAAAAGAATACTAAACCTAGAGAAGCTATGAAAATTCAAGGATAATAAAGATGAGCATTGGAATAATGGTAAAGTCATAATTTATGTGACCTATATATTATGAGTTTAAGCCGCGGAAACAGTCACTAAAGCTTGCACTAGGGTAGAATGTCTACTTACACCCCTTAGAGGGTTGCGACCCTTCCTCGGACCCTACTTGCATACGGGATCTTTTGTATATCGGGCTGCCCATATCATTGATAATGAACATGGAACCACCAAAATTCAAATTCTACTAGGGAAGAAGGGCAATAGTGGAGGTGTTTGGAGAACATATGAACTGAATAAAGCCTGGCCAGACCAAAGAGAAAAGACCTCATACTAAAATCTTGCAAATGCAGGGATAATGTGACTAGAATAAAAGGAGTTGGTAACATTTTCAGGTTCAGGTGAATTTGGTGAGGGTCAGAAAGGTCATTTCACCAGACAAGGATAACGAACAACCTATCCTAAAGTTGATGGAACGTTTACTTAACGACTTAAAGATGTCAACATTTAAATTTCTTTTTCATTAATCATTTTGCTTTTCTTGTTTCTTTATATATCATGCCAACTCATATTCATATGATCTATCAATCTAAGATTTTTTTCACAACCTTAACAGAAACATTTAATACTCTTAATTAGGGTATGCATAAGTCGGGTTGGTTCGGATTTTTCAATTACCAAATCAAACTAATTGTGTCGGGTTATTAAATCTAAAGACCAAACCAATAAAAGCCGGATTTTTAAATCTTGGTTTTTCTCGGGGTTTTCGGGGTTTCAGGTTTTTTTCCACAAAGTCTTCGTAGCACAAAATATAAAATTTGTGCTCCAAATATTTCTTTGATCTTAGTAAGACATAACTATATAAGGTGTTTTTCAAGAAAATAACATAAAATATGAGATGAGCTATGGCATTGTACTAAAATATTCAACAATAAAGATAATAAAATCGCATAACATAAATATTATTAATATGCCATAGTAAAAATAAACATAATCTAAAGTTACTAAATTGCTAAAATAAGTACGACTAACAAGTACTATTTAATTTTTACATGACTAAACATTATAAAAAAAAATAAGTCGTGCATTTTATCTAAACTATGGAAAAACTAAAAAAATATATATCCAACACTATTGTTATTCTCAGAACAATTTAATGGAATGCCTTTTATTAGCATTAATATAGAGTAAAAAACTTATTGTAGCATTCAAGAATTATAAGTCCAAGTTTAAAATAATACGTTAAAACCAAATCAAACAAATTATGGTCGGGTTTTTTCTTCCAACACCAAACCATAGTCAGGTTTTTTTTCTCGGTATGATTCAGATTATCGGTTTGATGCAGTTTGTCGGTTTCCTTTGTACACCCCTACTTTTACTTATGACTCCCTCTATTTCAATTTGTTTGAACCTTTTCGGAGTACGAGAATCAAATTGACTAATTTTGGTGTGAATTCAGATATATAATTTTTTTAAGTTTTTGAAATAAAATTTACATATTCAAATGTTACATAAAAAGTTGTATAAGCCACAATAGTTAAACAATCTATAATATTTAAAACCTATTTGTACAAAAATATGATTAAAGAAAACTTTGTTTGACTCCAAAATAGTAATATGTTCATTCTTTTATAAAATGAAAGAAAGTATATTATTTGCCTAAGTTGCAATTTATTTATCTTTTAAACATGCCACTTAATTCTAGAGTACCAAGGTATATTTGAAATTTGAAAATAATAATAAATGTATCTTTTTCATTAATTAGTACTCCACTAATTAATTAATCAAGGGTATATCTGAAAAAATTATAGTAATAATGATCATTTTTATTAGCACTCCACTAATTACAGCATCAAGGGTATATTTGAAAAATAGTAATCAGTTATCTCAATTTTTTGGAATTTTCAGATATTTCGAAACAGATTTAGTTGGTCAAACGAATATTATAATTATTGTTGTTATTGTTATTGTTATTGTTATTGTTATTATTATTATTATTATTATTATTTGGATCATAATGTTTTATTTGACTATGATTTCTGATCACGCCCAACTATGCCTTATAAAAAGGACTAAGCGGTTGTTGCAAATATAATCCGGTTTACAAGTCCCGAGTCGAATCCCACAGAGAACTAAGGCTTAGCTACAGTTGTTGAATATCACCAAGAAGATAAGCTTGAACAATTCCTAACTTATAGATATTAAGATTCTTGTGTTTAACTAATTAACTAACAAAATAAAATAGTAAATTAACAACTAAAGATACTAAGGGTTAGAGACAAGATTAAGGAGGTCTAGAGTTATGATTTCCACTATTGTCGGAATCCTTCCCGCTACGCTTTCTATAAATTCGCCTAAGTATTCTCAACCGATCATGAGCGCTCTGACTGTAGTAACTCTCTCCCGAGTAATTACCACAATTTACTAGACATATTCTCCCGAATTATGCTAGCTGGCATTAAGTACGGCTCACTCGGATCGCACCCAAGGTGTAACGACCCGGCCGATCGTTTTAAGAATTAACGCCCCGATTCCCTATTAACTATTTTCCCCGTGTTTATTTCTGCTATTCTGAGTTGTCGGAGGTTTCGTTTTGAGTTTCGGAGTGTTTTGGGACACTTAGTCCCTAAATGAGAATTTAAGTTCTAAAATTTGGACCGTAGTCGGAACAGGGTGAAGACGGCCTCGGAATGGAATTTTGTGGGTTCCGTTAGCTCCGTTGGGTGATTTCGGGTTTAGGAGCGTGTTCGGATTGTGTTTTGGAGGTCCGTAGCTTATTTAGGCTTGAAAAGCCGAAAGTTGAATTTTTGAAGTTTCCGGTTCGATCGTGAGATTTTTATATCGGGGTCGGAATGGAATTCCAGAAGTTGGAGTATCTCCGTAGTGTTGAATGTGACGTGCTCGTAAAATTTCAGGTCATTCGGACGAGGTTTGATAGACTTTTTGATCGAAAGCGTAATTTGGAAGTTTTTGGAATTCTTAGGCTTGAATTCGATGATGATTTGGTGTTTCGATGTTGTTTGAGGTGTTTTGAAGATTGGTATAAGTTTGGATAGTGGTGTATGACTTGTTCGTGCTGTTGGTTGAGGTTCCGGGGGCCTCGGGGTGATTTCGGATGGTTA